TTCAAAGTTGATGTTTGCGAACGCGAGGTTGGCGATGCWAAGAAAGTKAAGGTTTCCGGTACGGGTTTGACGGATGGTAAGACACACACTGAGAATGTTTTCGCCGTGGACACACGCAATGCCGGTTATGGTGGTTTGTCCGTATCAATTGAGGGCCCTAGCAAAGCGGAAATCCAATGTACCGATAAAGATGATGGTACCTTAAATATTTCATACATGCCCACGGAGCCAGGCTACTATATTGTGAATCTGAAATTCGCCGATCATCATGTCGAAGGCTCACCATTCACTGTAAAGGTCACTGGTGAGGGTAGCAATCGCAAACGTGAGAARATCCAACGTGAACGCGATGCTGTGCCGCTGACCGAGATCGGCAGCAAGTGCAAGTTAACCTTTAAGATGCCTGGAATCACGTCGTTCGATCTTATGGCCTGTGTAACATCGCCAAGCAATGTGACTGAAGATGCTGAGATTCARGAAGTTGAGGATGGACTCTACTCAGTGCATTTCATACCGAAAGAGTTGGGCGTACACACCGTTTCTGTGCGCTACAAGGACATGCACATCCCCGGTTCACCCTTCCAGTTTACAGTGGGTCCGTTACGCGACTCTGGCAGCCATTTAGTTAAGGCCGGCGGTTCGGGATTGGAACGCGGTATCGTTGGCGAATCAGCTGAATTCAATGTATGGACACGTGAAGCTGGTGGCGGTTCATTGGCCATCTCCGTAGAGGGTCCCAGCAAAGCTGAAATCGACTTCAAAGATCGCAAGGATGGTTCATGCGATGTCTCCTATAAGGTTACCGAACCCGGTGAATATCGTATCGGCTTGAAATTCAATGATCGCCACATACCCGACTCACCATTCAAAGTATACATTTCCCCCGACGCCGGTGATGCGCACAAATTGGAAGTGCAACAGTTYCCACAAGGTGAGCATACAACAACAAAACTAAAAATGTGTAAAAAATATTTAACTCTCATACACTTTTAAACTAAACAGGCAACATTCAAGCCGATGCTCCCTATCAATTCATGGTGCGTAAGAACGGCGCCAAGGGCACACTCGACGCCAAGATCGTTGCACCATCTGGCACCGACGACGATTGCTTTATCCAAAGCATCGACAGCGAAATGTATTCGGTACGTTTCTATCCACGTGAGAACGGCATTCATGCCATACACGTCAAATTCAACGGCGTACACATACCCGGCTCACCATTCAGAATCAAGGTTGGCAAAGATGTGGCCGATCCAGCTGCCGTACACGCCACCGGCGCCGGTTTGGATGAAGTGAAGACTGGCCACAAGGCCGACTTTATTATAAACACATGCAATGCCGGTGTCGGCACGCTAACCGTTTCGATTGACGGCCCCTCAAAGGTTGCCATGGACTGTACCGAAGTGGAGGAAGGCTACAAAGTGCGCTACACACCACTATTGCCGGGCGAGCACTACATTTCAATCAAATACAATAACATGCATATTGTCGGCTCACCGTTCAAGGTGAACTGTATCGGTGAGTACACTAACTAACAAGTCGAGGTCGTGACCTCTCGAGTTCATAATTTTTTTTTTACACATTTCCACTTGCTTTTTTTAGGCGACAAACTGGCCGATGAAGGCGCACAGGAAACCTCCACCGTGTCTGTTGAGACAGTACAGAAGCTGGCCAAGGGCGGCAAGAACGTCGGTGTACATATGCCCACCTTCAAATCGGACGCCTCCAAAATTACATCCAAGGGCATGGGCTTGAAGAAGGCTTACATGGGYAAACAGAACAACTTCACGGTGAATGCCACAGATGCCGGCAACAACATGCTCTTCGTGGGCATGTACGGTCCGAAAGGTCCGTGCGAGGAATTCAATGTCAAACACACCGGCCGAAACAATTTCAACGTGAACTATATGGTGCGCGATCGCGGCCAATATATACTAATAGTCAAATGGGGMGAAGAACATATTCCCGGCTCCCCATTCCAAATCGATGTCTAGGCTAGAGGATCAAAGTGTAAAAGTGCCTTACGAACGGTGCAATTATCATTATGATTTTTTTTTTAATAGAAGCATAAAGCAGACGCACAAGTAAAAAGTGAAGAACAAAAACAACAACAACATGCACATATACATATGTATGTAATGTTTGTAGCAGTAAAGTCGAAAAGAAATTTATCATTTACCTAACATAAATACATAGCAAAACACATTATCGCGAATGGGTTCGATGAAGTTTGTAGCACAAATTCAAATTAAAAAAAAAATCTCATTTCTACAATTTCTGTTTTTTGTTTTGTATTTTCATCGCGCTTTTGTATTGCCTCTGGAAATTATTTCTATAAAAGCATATGTATTTATTAAGTTAACTGGAGTCTTCAAAAAGTCTATGTAAATAAAATTCGGACAATTCATTAATTAGACGAATGAAACCTTAAAAGATATATATTTAAAAAAAGGAAATAACGATATATTGCCATTTTTTGATAGTGAATACATTTTGTTGTTCCCATGAAGAAAATTTAAAATAAAAATAAAAATAGATAAAAAATCTTGCTGCTTTGTGAAATTAAACGTAATTATTATAAATGTTACGTAACGTATGTCCTATTTCATTGCTTATTTATAATGAGAGTAATTGTTTTTTTAAGATAATGATTTACATAAATGTTCGAGCTGAGTAAATACTTTTTATTATCCATTGAATAATATTATATTATTATTATTATTATTATTATTACTATTATTATGTACGTGTTGTTTTTTATTTTATTTTCAACAAATCATTTGAATTAAAGGAAAATAAACTTGCAAATAATAATAAAAAAAATTTAAAATTTTAATTTTGCGTTGATTATTTGCGTAAYGCATCAGTTCGGCACCATGCCTGAAAATTACTTCAGAATAATGTAAGAGCAGGTTCTTGGGGAAAATGATGTGCTAAAAATAGCAGAGCAACATCTCAAAAACTTCGCGTATGTACAGATAGAGGACATGACATTCAAAGAATATATAATATATTATATTTTTTTATTTCTATCTCAGTTTTTATGATTGATTATCTATTTTTCTGCCCGCTTCACAGTCAGCCTTTCTTCTTTTTCATTTCTGTGAGTATTTTACTCCAACAAATTCAATCAAGTCAAACTTATTGCAGTAATTAAATATTTCATACATACATATATGTATACACATACATACGCAACTTCATTGTTGTAGAAAATAAGAAAATTGTTTATTGAGTACATCGACGTACTATTCCAGCATAATATTGAGTGCAATATTATTTGTGTATTATCTCTCTTTACGCGAACGCTAAATAACAACAAACTGGCAGTCAGAAAAACAGCTGATTATTTATTTAAAGCTAGGAAATAGTTGAGATTCGTTTSGTAACAATTAACTATCAATTATGGTAATGTGCTTTAAGTGAAAAAACTTAAGCTGAAGTGGACTTCGGGTTAGAAACGCTCATATATTCAACATAACCATAAATAATTTAATTGTTTTTGTTGTCCTTCAACAGGTACAGCTGCAAGCATATCGTGCGAAAATTGTCATATTTCTTTGAATATGAAGATGAGACCGCCGAAAGCTTTACGTGTGTGTATTTCGACTACGCTATGCAGGGGTAAGTGGTTTTTGGAAAAAATGYGCTGAGAGATAACTCTTATTATGATGAACTATTATCTATTAGTATATCAATAAATATAAGAAGTCAATAATAGCAATAGCACCCGTTCCCACGACAGTCGGGTCTATGTAACCGAAAGGGACCCGCATTTTTATCCGGCCAAGGACTGTAAACTCGGCATAATTTTGCCGCTCCAACAGGAACAGCAAAAGCACAATGGACTGCATACTGCTTCCCAAAATTGTGTTGAAGTTGTGATTATAGTTGCAACGTGAAATTCTTGGMTGATTTAAATAAAAAAATATTTGTTTCTTATATAAGCATAAGAGACTACCGCACCTAATTATAAATAGGAAATAAAAGTAAGGAAGTGCTAAGATCGGATGTAACCGAACAAATTTTGACCAGCCTAAAGGTTTAAAGTCAGGACACCGACTGTTTGAAAATCCTGATATTAGTTATATGAGATGTAAAGGTGTATGGAGGCTAAGGAAAGAATTGACCCGATTTCATCAATTTTTGACATCCGACATACCATTACCAGGAAAGGATTCTCTCCGAATTCTAATTACATATCTCATACATTAAACGATATTTTCGATAAAAAAAAAAATTAGCCATAAGCATTCAGGTCCACATATTCGGTATGTGGGGGTTTCATAAGTTAATGGCTTGATTTCGATTATTTTAAGACTTGGATGTCACATCTTACATATAGTTTTCTTACAAAAACTCCATTGGTGTTGGATTTGTATACTGTTAAATGAAGGAAATAGTCAGAAAATGGGTGTGGCTGTATTCCGTTTTCGCCCATTTTCACACTGTAGGATATGTCAATAMTATGTACCGTCGAATTTGTTACACTACTTCTTCAGATATGCCTAGAGTTAAACTTCCAGAGTAAATGTTATGTTTTGTAAAATATAAATAGTCAATACTGTGCCGGGTCATGCCAACTTTTTAAAAAAATTGCCTGTTCAGGTGCAGGTCCCCTACATCAAATTACAGTGTTATATCTTAATTTGGTGCTTAGTAATACGACATTATAAGAATTGACATCTCAATTTTTACTCAAATCATCGCTTGCACGGGCAGACGGAGTTAGATAATCACTCTGAATTACACTCGTCTTATTCTGATTATTTATACACCTATGAATAACTCTTTAGCTACCTCGATTAGTTTTGGACAATACAAACAATTCTTCACGATAACCCGAAAGTATGCACTTTCGATGGTCAAATTAGTGGTTTTTATAGCGGTTGTCGAACTCAATATTCTATTCTTAATATGTCTTTTATTATGTATGAAAAAATGAAACACTTAACACATTTTTTATGAACCAAACGATTCAATACACATACATAGGTTATTTAAAAAACTAAATTAAGGTTAATATAACATGTGGTAAAATGAATTTATGAATTTACAATGTAGTGCTGTCGTCCTGTTGTTCAGATTCATGCAGTTCACCGCAACGGCCAGCCTTTTGCAATGGATCTTCATCGCTTTCTGAACTCGAGAGCTCGGTCTCAGGTGGACAATAGTATATAGTGGAAGTTTTTGGAAATGTTAGCCGCCCAATGTGGTACTTAAARAATCTGCGTGCATGCTTTTCTCCAACAACACTGCTCATAAGTTCTTTAGTTACTTGAAAATCGCCATCCATTGAAGGCGCCTTACGTTGCGGAGTATATAGCATTATTCGATTTGCTTTTACGGCGCTTTCAAGTGTAGTGTTCGAAATGTTGGAACGATAGTCCATTGTTTTATTATTCTTCGTGAGCCGCCTTTGTTTACGACGTGGTTCGGTAACGGCATGGCGCACCCCTATCTTAGAAGTTGCTTTGGTAGGTGTAACGTGTTCTTCTACAGAAGGAGATAATATGATTAACTCTTTAGCAGTTTTAAATTGTGTCTTAATTTTAGGAGTTCTTTCCAAAGAACTTSTTGAACTCTCTTCAATAGGTGACAAATGGCTAGTGGCTTTCTTGCGCGGCATATGCTGTTTATTTTCTATGCAAGGCGTTGCAGTAGACGAGCACTCTAAATTTTCATCTATAGCTGGTATTCGGTTTGGTAGYTGCTTGCGCGCAGCAGCAGTATTCACCGCAGTTGAATTGCAAATATTTTCCGAATGTGCAAGAAAAGTGTTCTCTTTTGTTTCATCGGGTTTTTCATYGAATTTTCTCAAAGTTTGGTTCTTCATTGATTTGGATTGAGTTTTATTTTTCCTCTCCGTTTTCTTTTTCGTTTTTGCAGTTGACATAGATTCTTTTACTTCCTTATTTCGAGAACTTCCAGCTAAATTATATAAGTTGCTATTTGTGCTTTCCAAAGAAGTACATGGTTGGGGTTTGGRTGAGTTGTATTTGTCGTCGTTTTGTTTCAGGCTTTTTAAAGATAGAGCTTTAGCTATTTTAATATCGTTTTCAAATGTTGTGTTATATTCTGAGGAACTATTTCCATTTTGTGTTTTATCGACACGTTTTGATTTGATTGTTTTMGCATTTTTTATTTTATTAGTATTTAACAGTGATAATGCCTTCTGGGCAGCCGTGCGTTTTGTAGTGATCTTAGATGGTGCTGTATGTGGAATACTACTTTTTACGGATTTGGGTTTTGTTGGTGTTTCATACACTTTTTCTATCATGGACATCAATTGATTTCTACTGATAAAAATATATTATATGTATATATTCATAATTTTTTTTAAATAAATCTTACCTATTCCCTTTTTGTAGTAAAGATTCTTCCACCATGCCAATGGGGAAAGAATTTTTTTGGGATCCTCTTACTGGTGTAAGACTGTCCCGCTTCGAAAAACATCTCCCTTGGAAATCACAATCGGAAGCCGAACTAGAACTGTCCTGCCGTGTAAAATGATGTCTTTTATTTTTATTTTCAGAAAAAAYTGTTAACTTTGCGTGTTCTTTGTCAATAATTTCTGATTCTTCATTACTTGACATTTTCCAATATTTAGGAGTTGTAATTGAATTTAATTGATATTTGCAACAATTGCAATTATGTAGCTTGTGCGGTTTTGGTTCAACAAACATACCACGTGTGCAGCAAGATGTTTGATAATTTTTACATTTTTTGAAACACTGCTTATATTTCGGTTTTCGCATGTGATGGCACTTCTGTACAGATCGTATATATCGGTCGTCTTCACAAGACAATGATGAATCAGTATCAGTTGATTGTACCTTAGTTTTAGCAATATGTGCACTATGCTGTCGGCGCATCCAACCACCAACTTCTTTTTCAATACGTACCGAATCAAATGTATTCATAACGTTTTCCAGACCAGTTTTCTTTAATTTTAACTCATGCTCTTTTAATATTGGACGTGTTGAATTTAAAATATCTTGAATTTCCTCCGATTCCATTATAAAAGTAGTCTTTTCTTGTTCTGATGATTGATTCATTAGATGGTGATATTCGATATCATCAAGATCTTCCACTTCCTCTGCTTCATCTGCGTCATCATTGGARGAATCGTCGTCAAACTCTTTATCAAGTGAATTCACATCGTAAACTTCTCCATCGTCACGTTCAGCTATATTCTACAATAACAAAATTTCATATATTTCTCATTCTCATATTGGTAAATGATATTACGTACTTCTAAAAAACTACTCCACCAAGTGCAACGTCGATACTCCAATTCTTCCAGGGCATTTTCATTGAAAACTAAACGATTCATTCTATGAATCAAAACAAAGAGATTTTCCAAATAATAACTTTGTAGTGTTTCGTATAGAAAATTTCACTGTTTCGGTATTTTTCAAATTTATAAAATGATGCGCGCGAATAGAGATGCCACTATTTGCTATTTGGTTGTGTTATACTGTTATAAACTATTTATTATAATTTTAATAATATTCCAATATTCTTATGACTACAAAATTAATATAATTTCAATTCAATCGCAAACTATGGCATCAAGTCCAACATATATTCGAGCATCTATGCTTGTAGGAGTTCGTTCACATTTGTTTCCAAGATTCTTGTAGGAAATTGGTTTTATTCGATTCTATTATAATAAATGGCAATATACGCATAAAAGAAAGAAACTGAAACGAAATGAAAAGCCGAACAAAAATGTGTTGCCATATTGTTTATCAAGAGAATAAATAAATGTATTCCACGAAAGAAAACTATTGTTTACTTTTTGTTTTTAATTTGGTAACGTTGGAAACTAGGTTTTTGGTTAGTGTATACAGTCAGCTGATTAATGCAATTGAAACGTGCAATTCCCAAATACAATGATTAGTAGCAAATTAGCTTTTGAAAATACCGTCAAAAATAATTTATAATTAATGACATCCTGGAAATATATTTTAATAAGCTGCACAAGTCATGTAAAATTAGAAATTTAACAGTTCAGAACTGATATCAGTAAGGATTGTGTTTGATTTTGTTCTTGAAATATACATTTGTGGCTCGTCCTATTTTTTTAATCAAAGTAAAATAAAATTTTAAAAATATATATTTTAGTTAATAATGTGGCACTTACGACGTTTTTTCACGCAATTCGCTGAGGAAATCAGCGCACCTACCGATTTAATTAGCTGCTTGCAGCAAACGCCTCAGAAGATACATAACAGTTTTGGCGGTTATCGTAACCTCGATAGTTTAACATGGCTACACAATGCAGCACCATGTTTTCCGCTGCACGGTGAACAAATTCAAATAATTCATGAGCCGCATCAYTTCTATGAAACGCTAGTGCAACGTAGCGCGTCAGCTCGAGAGCGTATTGTATTAGCCAGTCTATATCTGGGTACAGGTCAATTGGAAAACGCTTTCGTACAAACATTACGTAGCAGCTTGCAACAACAATCCTCACTGCATGTCAATGTACTATTGGACTTTACGCGCGGTACACGAGGTGAAGTCAACTCCAAAACGATGCTGTTGCCGCTTTTACGTGATTTTGGCGACCAGATGAGATTATCACTTTATCATACACCAGATTTACGTGGTATGACGAAAAGATTAGCTCCACCACGTTGGAATGAGCTMCTCGGGCTGCAACACATGAAGGTTTATCTCTTCGATGACGCTGTTCTTATATCGGGAGCGAATTTGTCAAATGATTATTTCACGAATCGTCAAGATCGTTATATACTCATCGAAGATAAACCACTTGCAGACTTTTATGCACAGTTTATTGCCAGAGTGCAGGAATTCAGTTTGGCTGTTAATAAAAATGCACAGGAAGAATTGCATAAAGATGGAAAAATTCTACCATATGAAGGTGTAAAAGAAGAATTCATTATGCATGCAAAACAGCGTATCTCTGATTTTATGAAGGATACCTACATTCAGCAGCAGAAAATAGTGGAGGAACATAAAGGTTTTGAAATATCTTYTGTACATGAGAACTTTGACGTGAAATACTTTTAATTTCATTTTAGGTGCTGATACGTGGATATTCCCRCTTGTTGAAATGGGTCAAATAGGTATTCACCACGACAGCCTTGTGACGAAGCAACTCCTATCATCGCCAATTGAAGGTTCCCGCCTAAAACTTGCCACCGGTTATTTTAATTTAACTCAAGAATACATGGATACCTTGGCTAGTAATTGTTTRGCTCAGTGCAGTATTCTAATGGCCCATCCTAATGTATGCCCATCTTATAATTTCTATTTATCAGTCGATTTTATATACTAATACGGTTTATTTCTTCTTAAGGCAAATGGGTTTCAAGGTGCTAGYGGCCCAGCTGGTGGTATACCAGCGGCCTACACATTAATAGCAAAGAAGTTTTACGAAAACCTTGTGCAACTGAAACAAAATCATCGTGTTAACTTCTTTGAGTATGAAAAAGATGGTTGGACCTATCATGCCAAAGGATTATGGTAAAAACTWAAATGAAAAAAAAAGAAATCAAAAAGTTTATTTGTAGAAATAATAAAAAAAAAAAAAATATTTTAGGTATTATCTACCAGGCACTTCATTTCCTAATGCTACGCTGATTGGCTCTTCAAACTTTGGCGAACGTTCTGTGAATCGAGATCTTGAAACACAAGTGTGCCTCGTTACCACAMACGACGGATTGGCAGAACGTTTACAAGGCGAAGCTGACCGACTCTTTAGTTCTTCAAGTACTGCGGARAATGAAATTACCTCAAGACCTGTACCTCATTGGGTACAAGCTGTAGTTAAAGTATTTAGAAATTTCTTTTAAGTGGTGGCCAATGTCTACAATAGACTTGTGGTAACAACAATGCCGTACTGTCATAGGCATAAAGGACTCTGGGAACAACTTTAAGTTAAGGAGTGTGAATTTAATAGCAACCCTCAAATTAACAAAAAATATTTTCTTGCTGAATTTTATTTTTTGATAGATTTGAGCATAAGTTATTTTTATCTCCAATATTATCTATTTTTGTACTATGTGTATAGTCTTTATTGGAGTTAATTGCACAACAAACATGTTGGATTTAGCAAATTTTTTCGAAATATTTTAATATACATATGTACTACAATATTTCTTYTTAAATATGGTTTTCTTATATAGGGTTTCAAATGTCTGTTTATATTTACGGAGTTTGTATGTCAAAAAGCTCAAATTTAATAATTGTATGAAAAAATAAATTAATACAAATTTAATTGCTACATAAATTTGCAAATTATCTTAAATTGCAGTTTAAGAAGTAATCGGTAGAAAGTGACTACATAGGTTCCTGCATTTTAAACACAGATTTTAAATTCAGTTAAATTCATAATTCAACATAAATTATTAAATAGRATCGACTCCCGTTAACTATCGATTTATCTGATTTTCGATAAGTGCCTCTAATTGTAATAGATTTGAAAAGGCAAAAGATTAAACCCATCTATGAAATTGAGGCTGCCATTATCACACAAAAGTTTTTGTATTTGCATTCGGCAGAAGGGAAATATATTATATTTTAATTCCAACATTTATATTTTTTATTGTTAGGTTGAAAATTTTATTTTGCTTATTTGCAATAAATTTATTTTGTTTATAAGATACTTTCATTTCAACTCAAATGAAAATCWAGACGGCAGCCCTGGCTGTGAATCAACGCAAAAGAAACTGAAAAAATGTCCCGAAAGCAATTGCAAGATCGGCTATAGCGGCATTTTGGTAGTTTGGTTTGTGTTGTTCGATTGGTGAGTTTATTTTGTTTGGTACGGTAGTGCGCGTAATTAAAGTTGATATGTGGGAGAACGTTAAATACATCGCTTTCGAAAATATTAAGTGAAATTTGATAGTATTTCTTCATATGAATCTTAGATAATTCAATTCAGGTAATTATGTAAAAGAAATGTTGGTCAGAAAGTTACTAAATCTTATTAGAATTTTAGTTTAAAAGAAAATAGGCGCCCTTGAAAAAGTGCATGCATAACGGTACATACGAAAGAAGTGCGAAAAGAAAAATAAACTGAAAAGGAAACTTATTGCAAAGTGGTTTGAATTATGGATTCTGGAACTTTATTGGCAGTAATTTGTGAACAATAATTGAAAAATTTTAGCAACTATATAAGAGTGAATTCCTTTTTTGCATTTTAATTTGTTATTCAACCAAAAAACCTTAAAATTSAAACAATGATTCTTAGTAATAGTAGAAGAGAATCAAAGCAGTTCCCATATAAGTATGTTTGAGCAATATTACAATCATCCAGAGAGGACATATGGGATCCTTGTGATGTATTTACATTCTAACAAGTAACAATTAAAGAAATTTTGTGTCAAATACAATAATTTGGATTGTTTAAGAGAAAGTGTTTTGTGAAATTAACTTAATATTTAATTGTAATCGTAAAAGCTAATATTAGTATAGTGTCAAGGCTATCTTATTAACAGCAGAGCGAAATCAAATATAAAACTATTACTGAAATATCTTCACACGTCCAAACATTGCATCGATAGAAAAAATAAAATAAACAATTAAATGAAAGTTTTTTATAAAAAAATTGTAATAAGAAATGGAAATAAAAATTATAATAAAATTTGAACAAAAATTGACCTGCAACCAAACTGCTTTAAGAGCAAGGATCTCAATATGTGTTAACTGACAATATTATAATTTAAAGTGACAGAAATATAATCTTAAGAATAATCTAACACTTAACAAAAATTCCCTATACATACTAATTAAATCACCACTTACAACAACTTCTTTCGTGTATGTATAAAAGCAAAATATTGTAAGGAAAGATTAGGTACAGAGGCCTATAACCATACTTGTGCATTTTTTAAATTTAGGTTGTGTATAAATAACATACATGCATTACGCGGCCACATTCATATTTTTTCTTAAGTATTGTTTAATACCGGCATATTGCTCACATATGGATAAATACAATGTGACTAGTGTGTAAATCAGCACTTGTTTGTATACTACTTAACAGTCTTTAAAAATAAATTGTTTTCATTTTGCAATGCATGTCAAATAAATGTCATAAAACATGGAATTATTATGTTGCACAGTTGCTAAGGTTTGACTAAAATAAYAAAATAAACAGCTTATGACTAATAAGAACTGCACAATCCTATTCTTTCCAAAATAATACGCTAATCAAAAGCAAATAACAAGGAGACAGAGTTTTAATTTTCTTAGGCACTAAAATGCACCCCACGCATTGTGCTTAACAATTGGCACAAAGTTAATTCGTGACTGGTTTTTCCTTTTTCTCCCATACATTCGATTAATTCTTACTAATTAAACATTTGTATTTCTTGCAGATTCGATGCGGATCATATGCGCTTACGCGTTGCTTTGTTTACATTTGCTAGCTAGTGCGGTATTGTGATTTCAAGTAAATTTTCAACAATACGACAAATTTACATATATACCAAATAGTGTTTGACATCATGCCAATCTTTTGTAAGGGAACCGATAGATCAAATGTGCTATTACTATCGGGACTTAATTAAAGTGTGCTTGTAACAAATAAAAAATAAGTGTCACGCTGAAATGAAGTACTTGATCAAATGAATCAAGCGACTAACGAATTTCGATCAMGTCAACTCAACCTACAAATATAATAAAAATATATTTATAATAAATATATTTGTGACAACGAAACCGTTTTGGCGTAGTTTTACTAAGCTGTATTTGTGTGTGTTTGCTTTTGTCACAATTGATCGCATTTTTAATTGCAGCCATAATTTGCCAACATAAATTCAATTAAACTTACTAATTGCTCCGTTCGCCCAACCTTTGTTAAGTGAATATGTATGAGATAGACGAAAGATAATTGCAAGTGTCACGCTACTTCATGAAAAAGGTCAATTACAAATAAAAGAAAAACAAACATACATAACTAATGTTTTTGTGTTGGTAAGTGCGCTTGTGCAAATTTTGTGTAAATTGAAAAAAAAAGTGTCGGGAAAAATGTATACGAAACGCCCACCCATTAAAGTGCTCCATCTTAAAGGTAAAGTAAGTTTCCGTCATGGGTCGAATTTAGAGTTGCTGCCTTGTGTTGTGAATAGAAAACTTGGTGGWATAGCTGCTCCGATGTATGTGACATTTTTGATATTGCTTTACGCCAGTAATTTCGATCTTACCAAAGCGCRGGCGGCTGGTAAGGACCCTGCCACAGCAGATATAACTGCTACGACGCTTACAGCAACAACTGCACATGCGAATCACAAGCAACATCATCGTAGTACACTGCAATACGCACACAATAATTTTACCCATTTGCAAGAAAGAAGTGCAACAGATTTTATGGCGGAAAAGGGTGGCGTTAGCGCTGGTAGCAGTATGCCAGATGTTSCGGTACCTTTGGCGGCGCGTACATCAGATGCCCGAACAAATGCAGGTGAGTTTGATTGAATTCTAYTATTTTAACCAAAACTTATTAGAACATTTGTAGCTAAGTTTCTGATAAAAATATGGATGTTATTGAAATATCAAAAAAAAAAAAAAACSTAATAATAATAGTGGTTTGTAAATTATGTCGATAGGAATATTAAAAAGTTTGATATAGAGTTAATTACGTATATCGATGGAAAATTATAATACAAATAATATCCCCCATTTATACTAGTGTGATGAACTTCCCCAGAGTACAATCAGCCTTAAGGCTATATATAAATATTTTTATGCGCTTACACATGCATGCAAGCAAGTGCATTACTAAAATAAACAAACAGTAACAATTGTGCGGTGCATCTAAGGTGTCAGTATATGTATGTACATACAAGCAGATGTAATGCCTCAATTCAATCATGTTGCAGCTACACATGTACATACATGGATTGCAGCCAGCATGTTGTAATTCCTTTTGCTATACAGTTTCATTTTTCCACACWTCATGCGAAATGCAACTGGGCAACAGCGCGGCTACCACAGTCACAACAACTACAATACTACAACACAACATAGGAAAACCGCTGGAATAATTGCTTTGTCATTTACATTAGCTCCATGAACTGCAGCAATGCGTCGTCTTACATAAATATCAAATCAAAATTGACAGGAAGGCAGGACCGCATGTAAAAATGTGTATATCTGACTAACATGCGTATGTATGTATTAAATATGTAGAGTGCGTTATGGGGCAGCGACAGGTCAACCGAATSAGTTAAAATGTAGAAAAAGAAAAAAGTTTCTTAGGCGCCTCAAAAGTCGTCTAAGCTGATCTACAGGCATCTAAAACAGGTGTACACAGTGAGATCCTCCATGTTACATATTCAAAATAAGAAAAGAAAATGTTAATTATATTAAGATGTGCGCTCTTGTGTCTGTGTGCATTAATACATTTGGGTAAAACATGCTATATTGCATTGTTTGTCTTAACTTCGGTTTACTTCAACAAATATTGAGTGCCCCATTTCTTTTTCGAATTTTGGAGTGATATTGAGCKGCATTATTTCACTTTTTCAAATATATCTGTATTTAATAAATATATATTCGCGCAACAYTTGTCGGTTGTTGTGTCATACAACCACATACAAACAAACATATTTCCATGTGTGTTTGCTTTGATTTCCTGGCTGCTTCAATATTATTAATATCATGGCTTTTGTTTCGGTAATTTAATACCTTTTTCTTTAAGCTGTTTGGTTAGAAAAAACAAAAATATTATGTATGTATAGCGGAATAGCATTAAACCTCAGCTGTTTTGTGGCACACAAATGAAGCTCATTATATTTCAATAACCAATACCAAAGCCAAAGTACCAACCAAGCCGGGCAAGACGAATGAAGGAAAACGGACAAGCCGAAGAAGACTGAGAAAAGTACAAAATCAGTGTTGAGTTATGAAAACCACTTGAAATTTTGTGTGAACACTGCCTTGTAGGAAGTTCTCGCTGCTTACCAGATGTCTGTTTCTCAACATTATTTTTTGTATTTGAACGATGGATTGCATTTTTAATTTAAAATTKCAATTTGATTTATTTTTAGTCGAATTCTGATTAGTAAAATATAAGTTTTCGTTTTATGTTCTCCGAGTTGTTTGACAGCAYTTGACCCAATTTAGGATCTTTTTCAATTCTGTTATATAAATATAACTCCGATTGTTTCGAGAATGGTTTGTTGGAGCGAATTGAAGGTCACTTTAAAAGTAATTTTTTTTTTAGTTTTTTTTTCTGAAATTTGAAAAACAGCTGGGTACTTTATTTTTAACAACACAATTCCTGCTGGGTACCTCTAAACCCCAAAATACATACATAAACTGCTATAGATATACTCGTAAGAACACATGTCCATCCAACCATGCATGTAATACACAAAATAAGAAGTGGCGCTGACAGCGTACGCTTGTTGTGTGCCTAAGAGGGGGTCATGAATAAACGAATACCCCCGTACTTTGAGCACATCCGTTGCAAAGACTGGTCTACCATTAGCTTGCACTGATTTTTTGGGCACATTAAACGTTTTGTGACAAAATCCAAGTGTACACTTCCTTCTTCAGCGCCGGCTATATACAGTCTTATCTGGTCTTCGCAAACAATATATWKWTWTWTTTTTTTTTTGTTTTGTGGAGCGAAAGAGTTTTTTCCTTCGAAGTTATAAAATAAACGCCAGCGGCTTGGTGTGACGATCATACAAACTGTACGTGTGATGCAGTGGAAGCGACACGTACATGTATTAAGGGTGTCCCTTCCGGGGGTCGAAAATTAATAGAATAATATAATATTTTAATTTAATTAATTTTAATGAAAAAATATTGTGAACAATTTTGACACACACCACCTCTTCGTCGATTTCAAAGCTGCTTTCGACAGAACGAAAAGGAGCTGCCTTTACGCCGCGATGTCTGAATTTGGTATCCCTGCAAAACTTATACGGCT